GAGTTGGGTGTGTGAGACAGGGTGTACCAACTGGGCCTGCAGGGGTTAACCAGCCCTGCTGGGCATGGTCCAACTGAAGGACAAGTATAAAGGCCAGTGGAGCAGCTCAGTCAGGGCTGGCCACTGCAGAAGAAGGAACTGCTGCCAGAGCTCGGGAGGAGGAGGCGCAGGTGCAGCAGAGGCCAGCCAGTACAGGGGAAGCACCCACCCCAGAGGACATAAGTGGGAAAGATCCTGACATTTGAAAAGTGGGTAGGAAGTAGTGCAGAACAGGGAGATGGAGCCCCGAGAGCTCAGCATGTTACGGGTGGATTCCCCACTGAGCTGGGGAATAGTACTTTTTCAGAGTGGAGAGAGATAACTAGGGGGTCCCCCAAGGGTTTGTCCTGGGGCCAATCCTATTCAACCTATTTATAAATGATCTGCAGAAAGGGATAAACAGTGAGGTGGCAAAATTTGCAGATGATACCGAACTGCTCAAGATAGTTAAGACCAAAGCAGACTGTGAAGAGCTTCAAAAAGAGATCACCAAACTAAGTGATTGGGCAACAAAATGGCAAATAACATTTAATTTTGGTGAATGTAAAGTGATGGACATTGGAAAAAATAATCCCAGCTGTACATACAAAATGATGGGGACTAATTTAGCTACAGCTCCTTTGAGAGAGATCTTGGAGTCATTGTGAATAGTTCTCTGAGAACATCCACTAAATGTGCAGCAGCAGTCAAAAAAGCAAACCATGTTAGGAATCCTTAAAAAAGGGATAGAGAATAAGACGGGAATATCTGATTGCCTCTATATAAAACCATGGTATGTCCACCTCTTGAATACTGCATACAGATGTGGTCACCTTATCTCAAAAAAGATATATTAGCATTAGAAAAGGTTCAGAAAAGGGCAACAAAAATAATCAGCAGTTTGGAACAGGTCCCATATGAAGAGAGTTTAAAAAGACTTGGACTTTTCAACTTAGAAAAGAGGAGACTAAGAGGGGATATAATAGAAGTCTATAAAATCATGAGTGGTGTAAAGAGGATGAATAAGGAAAAGTTGTTTACTTATTCTCACTATATAAGAACTAGGAGTCACCAAATGAAATTAATAGGCAGCAGTTTTTAAGCAAACAAAAGAAAGTTTTTCTTCATTCAGTGCACAGTCAGCCTATCCCACCCTTCTTATACACAAAGGGGACATTACCGCTGGGACTATTTACTTTGGGCCACCTGATATCCCTAGTCTCTGTTTGTCAGAGGCTGGAAATGGATGACACAGGTGGAATCGCTTGATGATTCTGTTCTGTTCACTCCCTCTGGGGCATTTGCATTGGCCACTGTCGGCAGACAGGATACTGGGCTAGGTGGACCTTTGATCTGACCCAGCATGGCCGTTCTTATGATAATCACTCAGATAATTCAAGTATTGTCTGTTTTTAAAAAAAAAAGTCATACAAAAATTAACTTTCATGGATTTGCCATTGTCTGAGTAGGCTAAATTTGAAGTAGGGTGCATTTCTTAAGACAGGTCATAGAGAATTTCTGGTGTTCTGATATGAACATTTTCAAATATATGACTGCTGTTCATTTTAATCTTAGTTTATTGACTGGCTGATGAATATAATGGAGAGCCCTGAAGAAGTGCTATCTCAAGCCTCCAGAGACTTATTGAATGGTAAGGTATTTCTGATTTTATGTATTCCTACTAGGGGGCGGTACCCCCTGCTCGCTAACCGTGCCATTTCTCATTTGTGGGGGTAGACAGGCTTGGCTCTGCCCCCGCCACCAGGGAGGTCTGGCAGTCACACCAGTCTAGACCTCTCACCCCACCCGCAGCTGGTCCCAGCCTCTGCACACACACCCATTGCCAGGGCCACGCCACCCAGGCTTTCTCCCCTTTGCCTCAGGGGAGCAGGATGGGACATGATGGGGGCCACTCCGAGGCCTCACCACCGGAGGGCTGGGCTGACCGCACTAACCCAGCCTTGTTCTCCCTCCCCCCCAACCTCCATCTCCCACTGTGTCAGCCCAGGTCCCCTCTTCCCCCTGCTGCTGCCACAGCTGAGGCCTTGCATGCCCCATGCTTGCCTCCTGGCCACCGGGGGTGGGGGCTGCTCCAAGGCCATATGCCGACACGCTCTCCTCCTGGCTGCCAGCACAGGGGAGGAGAGAGGTGTGATGTGGCAGCCAGAACTGGGAGAGGGGGCGGGAGGAGCTGTGGGATGCCAGAGTGATGTGATGACGTCATTGTCATCCCACAGAAAAGAAATGTATAGGTATATTAAGATATTTCCTTAGCTCAGGAAAACAGCATTAGTCTGTTAAAGAAGCAAGATGTTTGTAGGGTAACAGCACATGTTGTGACCAAAATGCATATTGGTTTTAAGATAACCTTCACAGGTTAAACATTCTTCTCTTTTTAAATCCTTTTTCAGATTGTATGATTCTTCATTTTATCTCACTATCACTCACTCTATGCAACTGAAAGCCTACATAGAATAATGTTATGCTCTCAGGTTTAGTATAAAATAGAGTTAAACACCAAAAACTTTATTAATGTCCAGTTAATCATAGAATCATAAAACTGGACGGGACCTCAGGAGGTCGTCAAGTCCAGTCCCCTGCCCTCATGGGAGGACCAAACACTTTCTAGGTCACCCCTGACAAGTGTTTATCTAACTGGCTCTTAAATATCTCCTGTGATGAAGAGTCCACAATGTCCCTAGGTTACTCAAGTATAAGTGCAAGCTTTGCTCTCCATTTCCTACAGTGGTGTTATCCTGGAAAGACTAGTAATCCAATCAGTTAATGTGGCCTTTCAGCTTTGACAGCCAGTTCAAAATTATTTAACCTTTAGTAACCTGGCTAATCCTCAAGTGTGTAAAACAACTTCAAGACTAATCAGTTTCCTACCGTTTTTCCAGTGTGCATTTGGGGATGCTTTTGCAGGACAGTTTTGTAGTGGCCATGAACAGATTGGGTCCCTTGGGAAGAGCAAGTTGTGATACGACCAATCTGCCCTTGCTACAAATTACACTCGCTTCCTTAGCTGATGCCTTTCATGGTGTCCTGCAGTTCACATGGCAGCAACAAGAGGCTGGAGGCAGCACTAGTTGGGCTTTGTCTACAGCAGGAGTTGGCAAAAGGGCCTCCGCAGGCCAAATTCGGCCCACCAAGCAGGTTGATCCAGCCCTCGGAGGCCCTGCTACTCCCCCACCCACGGGCCCTGATTGGCCTGGGGGCAGGGGGAGCACCCGAAGTTTCCTCTGCCCTGCCCCCGCCCTGCAAGGAGAGCACAGCGCTTCTAAGCGCCACACTCTCCTGGCAGGGCAGGAGGAGACTTCACTGCCCCTAAGCTCTGATTGGCCTGGGGGCAGAAGCGAGAGTGCACAAAGTCTCCTCCCACTGCCAGGGGCATGGGCACCAAGGGGGAACCTCGGGGGGGGGGGGGGCCGGCAGCAAAGACTTCACGTGCTCCCCCGCCCCCCTGGACCGATGATGGTCTGTGGGTGGGGAAGCAAGGAAGTATCCTGGCCTTGTCCCTTCTGCTTGAGGCCCTGCGCCTTCCAACATGGCCCGGGGCTACTTGAAAAATTTCTGAACTGGCTCCCGATTAAAAATTATTGCCTACCCCTGGTCTACAGTACCCCCACAACCCTGTCACTAAAAACTTGGCAGTGTGAACATTGTTTGTCCTCACCATTGCCAAAAACTATTTGCACCGCTATAAGCAGGTTCGCATTGTGACAGGAGAGCGCTCCTGCTGGCAATGAAATGTTCACACTGTCACTTTCCACTGCCAATGTTTTGTCTTTTTGGGAGCCAAGAGGTTTTTTTAAGCATCTGTTAATGACCTGTTAAAGTTCAATTGGCAGTGTAGACAAAGCCTTAGTGAGGTTGGAACAAAACTGGAGACTCCAGAAGGCGAAGGACTGAACATAAGTGTAGATGGTGAATGATGATGAACCAGCAGTAAGAGATTCTTGGTCCAGCTGGAGGGTAGGGGACAGTGTCAGTCAGCTCTGCATGGAGCTCTGAGCCTCTGACAGGGCAGGACTGTTTAATCACCTGTGAAGCTGTGCTGCCCTGCAGCTTAGAGAGAACACTGGTGAGGAAGGGAGTTCATCACAGGAAAAAAAGGGGTAGTAACGAGAAAGATCAAGGAATGAGGAGGAGATAGGAGAAAAGTTTATCATAACTACTACTATTTTGTATTATGTTTGTACCTGCAAAAACCTGGCTCAAATACTATCCCCTTGTATAAGCTCCTGTAGAAACCTGATAACAGCCAATGAATATAATACAGAAATAACCGAGATGAGTGATTCTTGTCTTTTACTATATAGTTTCTACATAATCATGTACATTCTTCTTATTTTCATAGCTACACTTCTGGTGTTGAGGTTTCTCCCAGAGTTCAAGAAGAAGGCAGTATGGACTAAGGCTTATGGTTGGTAATCACAAGATTACAGCAGCATCAGATTTGAGAGGTGCTCCCCTTAATACTGATAGAAAAGTGTGTGGCAGAAATCTTCAGTCATCAAAAAGTGTCATTTTAAAAAAAATTGATATTATCAAATATTATGGATTTTCTTCCCAGTGATTCAAGAGTAGAAAAGTCATTTGGTTTGTCTGGTCAATAGGACAGCTCCTATTCTGAGATGTCTTGCCATACTATGTGAGGGTATGTCTACACTTGCTCCCTAGTTCGAGCTAGGGATGCAAATGTAGGTGACCAAAATTGCTAATGAAGCGGGCATTTAAATATCCCGTGCTTCATTAGCATAATCTCGCCAGCGCGTTACTCCACTCAATAGCTGATTCAAACCAGGAAGTGTGCGCTGGGACGCGTTAGTTTGAACCAAACCCCAAGTACGTTAGTTCGAACCAAGGGGTTTGGTTCAAACTAACGCATCCCGGCACACACTTCCTGGTTCGAATCAGCTGTTGAGCGGAGTAACACGCTGGCGAGATCATGTTAATGAAGCATGAGATATTTAAATCCCCGCTTCATTAGCAATTTTGGTCGCCTACATTTGCATCCCTAGCTCGAACTAGGGAGCAAGTGTAGACGTACCCTGAATTAAAAACTTGAATTTCAGAAGTACTTAAAATATGCAATATAAGCTGTAGCCAGCAGAAAGCCTTGTTTCTGTAGTAGGTGGAAGATTGCTATGAATATGTGGAAAAATTAAACAAATCTTGCAATGTTTTGGTTTGACATGGTGTATTTATTTGAAGGCACAACATTTCTTTATTCAGGTTTTTTAATGATTTTTCATTTCAGATGACAAATTTTTGTTAGCATTATGATCCCTCCATATTATAGCATTCATCATGCAATGTTGTTATATCAGGACCAGCATTATTCTTATGATAGCATAGTTGCCAACCTTGTAACAATTTTACCAGGGACACTTATCCTGGTAAGTGTGGGATCTGTGCATCGCTAGATACATTTGATGAATTCCAGGTTAATTTAAACATGAATATTACAGTTTAGGACCTCAGAAAATAGTGATTTTGATAAATTTCCAGAAGCTTGGATGCTTTTCCACTGTATCCCATCTCCTTTCATCTCCCACGCCAGTAACATCCTTCCCTTGCCTACATAGAAGTCTTCACCTCTGAGAGGGGGCGGGAGCCCACAGGTCTTCTCCACCTTTATCATAATAAAGGAAAGCTGGCAGATCTGTTCTCTCCTCTAGCATCTTACAGTCTCTGAGAGGACATAGAATGTCTCTCCTCTTTCTTTCCCTCTTCTTTTTTTTTAATGTTACTCTCCTAGGTCTGTACCTTTCCATTTGTAAGTCCTCTTTTTGAACCTCATTATTTTGGCCTGGCCCCTCTGTATACCTTTACCCCATTTGTGGGTTGTACAGTTTGATTCCTTCTGTTTCTAATAAAAATAGGTAGAAATATATCCCAAAGCAAAGGTCCACACAAGATAGAGCTTAAAGAGAAACTTAATTGGTGCTTAGGATCTTGAACAGGCCCTCTATTCAGTGGGGGTAAGTTTCACCAGTAATTGAATAACTAATCCCATACAGATTCTTAGTGTGTTGACTGCAGTATTCTCGGTCTGAGCTGTATGTAATGAAGCTATCCTATATATAGTAGTTTTCTCGGTTAAGTATTCATCTTCATAGCATGCCACAGTATCATATTTATTCTCTTACTACTGTTGCCAGTTTAGTATTTTTAACAGCTGGAAGTGACCAATTCCAGCCAAATAAATCTTCTGTGTCTGCTGTTTGCCCCTCTTAAAGAGTGATTATCTGGTATGGTATGAATACCTAGAAACCATCTACTTCAAGACAGACCCAAGAAAACCAACAATAAAACACCACTTGTCATCATCTATAACCCCCAACTTAAACCTGTCCAACACATTATCAATAAACTACAGCCTATACTGGAACAGGATACCAAACTCCAAGAGGCTCTGGGAGACAGACCCATAGTCTCCTATAGACAACCACCTACGCTCAAGATGATTCTTACCAACAATCACAGGACATACCACACTAATACCAACCCTGGTACCTTCCCTTGCAACAAACCCCGTTGCCAGCTTTGTCCACATATTCATTCTGCTGATACCATTATTGGACCCAACCAAGTGAGTTATAAGATCAAGAACACATATTCCTGCGCATCCAGAAATATAATCTACGCTATCATGTGCCGAAAGTGTCCGTCTGCTATGTACATTGGACAAACATCTCAGACACTTCGCCAAAGGATTAATGCCCACAAAACAGATATCAGACAAGATCACAAAGAAAAAACAGTTTCTATTCAGAGGATTCTCTTTCAAGTGCAGTCTTAAAAGGCTTTTGAAGCAGGATGCAAGTAATTAAGTCGTTGAGACAATGTCTTTTCTGGTTGAAATGGCAAGAAACTGTTTTTTCTTTGTGATCCTGTCTAATATCTGTTTTGTGGGCATTGATCCTTTGGTGAAGTGTCGGAGACATTTGTCCAATGTACATAGCAGACGGACACCTCTAATATCATTAGCTTTTTATCACCTCTAATATCATTAGCTCACAGACATTTACCTCCCCCTCCATCCCCCTTCTGTTCTGAAATTTGATTTGTCCTTTTCATATGTATTCATTTTTTTTAATTGTATCCTTTGGTATATATGGTTGTGACTATTTTCTTCCACTATTTGATCTGAGGAAGTGGGTCTGGCCCACGAAAGGTCATCATCTAATAAACCATCTTGTTAGTCTTTAAACTGCTACATAGTCCTGCATACTCCTATTAGGTCTCATTGACCTAGTTCACAATAAATAGTAATGTAGCTGTGGTAGCACAGGAAATGGTGGCATGGATCCACTATGCGGAGGTTTCCGGTGAGTTTCTACTCAGTATCATAGATTCATAGAGCTGGAAGAGACCTCAGGAGGTCATCAAGTCCAGCCCGCTGCCCAAGGCAGGACCAATCCCAACTAAATCGACCCAGCCAGGGCTTTGTCAAACGGAGACTTAAAAACCTCTAGGGATGGAGATTCCACCATCTTCCTAGGTTACCCATTCCAGTGCTCCATCACCCTCCTAGTGAAATAGTTTTTCCTAATATCCAACCTAGACCTCTCCCACTGTAACTTGAGACCATTGCTCCTTGTTCTGCCATCTGTCACTACTGTGAACAGCCTTTCTCCATCCTCCTTGGAACCTCCCTTCAGGAAGTTGAAGGCTGCTATCTAAGCCATGCTGCCATTCTCATTCTCATTGATGAGAGCTGGCACAAGTACATGTACATGAGCTCAGAATCACACCCTTAAGTTACAGTGTAGATGTATTCTTTGTATTATCATTAACATACCAGTAGTGAGTCCTGAGAACCATCCGAATTAGTCATTCTCAATCTACTTGGGCCACACATACGGCTCTTTTTGTGTTGTGGGCCGCATCCACACAATATATATCATACCTTTATAGCCCTGAACATGTCACAGGAGCTGCAGCTGTGTGCTGATTGGGCCACAGGTTGAGAACCACTAATCCAGATCATGAGTGCATGGTTCATCAAATCAGCCTGTTAATTTTTTGAGCAGTTTAAGACATTAACTGAACACACTTTTTGCAAACATAGTATCTGAGTTTTGAACACTTGGCCAACGACAGCTTGCATTGTGTTGAAGCAGAATCAGTAGTGACTGAAATACATATTGTAAAACTGAAAACCATTTACATGTTCCAGGTGCCCACATCCGGATAAACTGGGATTGATACTAACTTCCATATTTCCAATGATTTTTGAAAATAGGTTTGCTAACATTTAAAATTAAAATAAGTAAATAATTACACAGAATAAAAATAAATGTCATTGAGTATATATGAATGTATCAAATTGAAATACAGTGTTAGTAATGAGAATTTACATATATTTGTGGTTCAGTGTAAAAAAACACTGAATTAAATGATAACCTTAATGACTGACACCAACAACCCAAGTAGGTCTATAGATCCATGATTTTTATATCAATACATTTCAGCAAAAAAATAATTGTTGAATGCCTAAAGATGGCTTATGTTCAGACCTAAGCCTGTGATTCTCAAAGGCAGTCAATACCTATAACTCCATCTCTTCATTTGGTGGGTGGGTAAAAGTTAATCAGAAAAAGTAAACCACTTGTTAGGATACCTAAACATAGACTTCAGGCATCTTAATTCAGAATCTTAAGCTTGAAAATTTTGACCAGACTGTACCATGAGAACAGAATGGAAAATATCAGCATTTTTCAACAAATTTTAGGGATCTGCTGTAATTTTACTCCCATAAACCATCCTTCAGCAGATAGTTTTTAACAATGATCATGCTATCACATTTGCTTTTGTAACTAAACAATATTACAATATTCGCTCTATTTCCTAAATACAGGCAATGCTACAGTATTTACCTCTTTTGACCAGTGCTGAGCGATATACTGACCAAATGTGCTGTGTGTTACCACGTACACCACAGTTATAGCTAGATGCAAAAGCAAAGTGTTTCATGCCACCCACTCTAGTGTAACTTACAAATATATCTCTCTAAGGCTATGTCTTCACTATGGGATAGGAGTGTGAATCCCCTGCTCATGTACTCAGGCTAGTTCAGCCATAAATAGCAATGTAGCCCTGGTAGCACAGGTAGTGGCAGTGGAAATGTAGTTGATTTGCTTGGCTGTGGATGTGGTCTTGGCACAGCTAATCTGTGCCTCTGCTGCTACTGCCAGTACATTACACTGTGAGTTGTGCTTACTCCTGCTAGTTGTCATCGAGCTAGGGCAAATAGGTGTACTTGCCTAGATGAATCATACCCTTAGCTTGTAGGCTAGCCTGCATAGTAGGCTGTCCTTGCACATGTCATATTAGTGAAATCACAGAAATTAGATACCAGGCTAAAAATATAAAATTAATAGACTGTGCTCCTTTTTGGTTTTCATAAAATACCCTCTTGCTTTGTTAGCCTGGTAAAATTTGAACAGTCCTATCTAAGTTATGGGGTAGCTCTGGGCTACAGAACTACCAAGAATCTTTGTAGTGCTAGATATAGTACAGAATCTCTGTAGTAGCTTGGCGTGACATACCCCTCCACTAGGACTTGTAAGAAGAGCCCTCAATAGATATCTTTCTGGATGTTTTCTTCAGAGCTAGCATTGCCTTGGGCAAATAAGGGAATTTTAGAACCCCTTTATGCCCTTTTTAAAAAAAAGCAAAGGCTAGCGTGAGGGGTCAGGATCTTGGTTGGGTTAGTTTGTTTGTGAGTTTCAGAGCCATGTTTCAAACAAATGCCCAACTGCAAGTATAAGCTAATGTATCCGTCAACAATTTTCCATCCAGGGCATCTTAAATCTAATCAGTTTACTACAGATAAATTGGATTAAATTACCAAAATAAAGTCAAAATATGACACAGATTAATATTGCTGAAAATGAGTGGGTAAACTAGAACTTGAGTCATATCTTTTGTCTTGCTGAAATATTTGACAATGCTGTTGTCCTAAGGCCACTAAATTATCAATCTGAAATGCTCTTCACATACTTGTTGTTTGAATGTTTTCTTAAGACAAATGCATACCTTATGTTGCACTTTTTTCCCGAGAGTTAAAATAAGTAAGAAAATTTTATCCGAATTTTCATATTTATTTCACTTTTTAATCCACTTTATTTTTTCTGTCTTTTATTCATGCTCAAGGTAGAATATAACCAGTAAGGGAACTAGAGAATCCATAGTTATTTAGAAGTTGCTTGTGCAGTCAGAAAAGTAATTTGTCCCCTAGGAATAGGACCAAATCCTAATTATTTTTGTTGCATAAATAACCTCATTGAAGTCAATGAGACAACTCTCATGTGAGACACCATTAGGACTGACCCATATTTTATATAATCCATTATCTTATTTTTAAACGCAGAATATTTCCTGGCCTGGGTATACCACACTTTGGTGAGTTGAATAAGAGCGAGTCTGACTATTTTGTTTCTTCCTTCTGGGTGTGGCGCTCAAATTTGCATACCTTCTTCCGGGTTTGTTTCTTCCTTCTGGGTGTGGCGCTCACATTTGCATACCTTCTTCCGGGTTTTTTTTTCCAGAAGAAGCTTTTCTGCCATTTGGCCCCATCTATACGGGGCCAAATGGAGGAAAAAAACAGTCTTTCAAAAGCCCCCTTATTCCTCGTAAAATGAGGTTTACAGGGGCTTTCTAAAGAGGATCTTTTTCCCGAAATGAGGTTTACAGGGGCTTTCTAAAGAGGATTTTTTTCCCGAACATTTGAATATCAGAAAAACCTCTTCCGGGAAAAGAATGGGAAGAAAATATGCAAATGTGAGCTCAATTTGCATACCTTCTTCGAACACCCTCCTCGCTCCCTCCCCCAGTGTAGCTGTACCCTCTGTTCTAAGAAAATCGGAATGTCACAGTTAAGAAAAACATCCTTTGCTAGTATCTACTAGAAATATATTAGAATCGTAACGTCTATTGCTTTACATTAAATGTCATCTGGGACCTGCAGTGGATAGACACTGTATACCTGAATTTGTCACTTACATTTGTTATAAATGGGGAGAAGTCTAGTGGAAGAGGATGGGTTTGCTGTAAATAGTTTTACCCCTTGCTATTTGTGAGACTGTGGCAAAATACAGAAATACCAGATTCGCCTTCATAATCTATTCTTGTCCCAGCAAATTTGATATTCATACATTTGATTTACGTAGACTAACAGGTGAAACAATGATACAAAGAAAATATCACTGACATTTTGCTATAATATAAAATGTAGAATCAAGCTATTGCTGTTATAGGAACCCATCATACCGATGTGATTGACATTTTGTAACCTGACTTTAAAAAGTGACTAGAGGTTTGTGATAAACTTAAAAAACAACAAATGATCTGCTAGCACTTCATAGACTAACAAAACATGTAGATAAAAACAACAAACGGTCTGGTAGCACTTCAGTGCTACCAGACCGTTTGTTTTTTTCTGTAACAGACTAACTTGGCTACCCCATGAAGCTCCAAAACATGTAGATGGTATCATGAGCTTTCGTGGGCACATCCCACTTCTTCAGATGACTGGAGTTTTAAATGAGCTGTGCCCACTGCAGGTTGAGCTTTCGTGGGCACATCCCACTTCTTCAGATGACTGGAGTTTTAAGTGAGCTGTGCCCACTGCAGGTCCCTACATGTTTTGTTAGTCTATAAAGTGCTACCAGACTATTTGTTGTTTTTTAAGTTTATCCTGTACAGACAAACTCGGCTACCCCCTGAATCTAGAGGTTTGTGGTCTTTTATGTTTGAGTTCCCAATGTGAGATGCCTCAAAGGACCTCATTTTCAGAAAGCGTAGAGCACCTGCCCTCTGTAAAGTAAGATCCTCTAAGCTGGGTGCATCAGATCACCAATTGCTTCTGCAAATCTTGGTCTAAATTATTTCCACATAACATAGCATGTTCTAGAACATTTTCCTCATTACAAGACAAGATATCAACTTAACTCCTTTTCTCTTTGATGTAGCTGGCTTCTAGGTGAGCTTTCCTTTCAGAGCAGAGGTACCTGATGATGAAGCACATACCTAAATTGAAACATAAAATGTAAGTGCAGGGAAGCAGACTCCAAAAGCATGAGCATTCACCCAGAAAGAACAGTTGGACCTGCAATGGCAAACCTCAGTGAGGAGAGTCCAGTTGACCCAAATGCTCCTGTGGAGGAGCCTATTAAACCCAAAGGGAGTAAGGCATTTCTGGTTCTATATTCTTGTAGTTAACCATACTATATTTTTTATATGTGACCTCAGTAAGTAAATCTAAACCATGCAGGGTATCAGACATTCCTCTGGAATCCTTAAAACACATCTTCTACATAAAACACATCTGCTACATAAAAACTATTTTTCTTAATAGTTCTTCTCCCCATCCCTCTCTCTGGAAACAGGTACGGTAATTCACTTCCAAACGGGATGCTGGAATTCCAACCAGCCAACTTCTGAGCAAAATGAACTCCCTTTTAGCATGCAGGAATCAATGCAGGAACTGTGTGGGACAAGGACAAGGAGTTTTCATTGATTCAATTTTTACCTCCCCAGCCTTGTGAATTCCAGTATAGACATTAAGACCCTGTTCATAAGAGGTGAAAATCTTACCTACAAACAGCATTGCCAGGTACGTTTTTAGTATGTACGGGAAGTAGATCGATAAGGCAAATGGAAATGGCAGCCTGGTGGAGTATGTGCCGAAGGATTCAAAATAAGGCAGTGATTCATAGATGGCAAATGCTGCAAAATAATATTTTTAAAGTTTGAGATATAGGAAAAGACTAAGTGAAAGATCATCTCCAAGAAAGGGAAAACCATCTCCAAGAAAACTACTTTTAAGGCATGAATGTGGGTCTTGTGCAATCTACTGCCTTGTGAAATGTAATCTGTATAAAAGAGTGTCCTCGGGAGGCATACAGAGCTTTACTTTTAATTCATTTTCTTGGGACTGATAATCATGGATAACTAGGATTAGCAAATATTTACTTGGTTCTCATTTCCCCTGGACATTCCAGCTACAGGTATAACTGCACACACTAGTGTAGGTACAGTAAGCTACTATATGCTGCAATGGTTTGATGCATCAATTTCAAGAAGGAGAAAGCTGCAGTAATGCATTGCCAGCTTTGTCTGTCGCCCTCCCCTGCTGGGTGCCTGTAGCTAAGGTACACTAAGAATTGTAGAACTGTCAGCATCTTTGGTCGATGTCCTGTGGCTTTCCTTATGTTAACAAGTTGTTAATTTTCCAGGAGAAAGAAAGGCCTTTGGAAATCAAGAAACAAAAAGCAAACGAAAAGAAACAGGGAAAGATGGCTGAAAAAGCATGTAGATAAGAATAAAGGGATTAAACATGTCTTATTTTTCAAAAACACTGATCATCAAAATGGTTAAACCCAACTGAGTGACATTCAGTAAATAAGTAATTTGCTTCATGCCTATTCCTGGCCTTTTACCTTTAGCCAGAACTGACAGGGGATATAATGGAATCCATAGTGTGTAGTTTAGCCATGTCAGAGCGTCATAGTATGTTCCTGTCACTGATAACATGCAGTAAGTGTATCTGGAAATAAAAATGAGGGGAACTTGTGTTTATTTTTCAAACTCAAATAAAATAGGAATGAATAAACATCTTACTCAAAAAGTACTCACAATCAAACTGTTAAAACAATAGAATGCCAATTGAAATGTATTGAATATTTGTGGATGTTTTTCTACATTTTCAATATTGATTTCAATTACAACACAATACACAGTACTGTATAGTGCTCATATTATATAATTATTTTTGTTACAAATATATGCATTGTAAAATTAATAAAATACATAGTATTTTCAATTTTTTCCACAAATACTTAAGTGCAATCTTGCTATTATTACAGCATAAATTATATATGTATGGGGGGTTTGGTTACATAATTGCATTCAAAAACAGAACAATGTAAAGGTTAGAGTTGCTTACTTTATTTTTATGAGGTTACTTTGATTTCTTACCTGACCACATCCAGTAAATTCCAAAGGAAAAATAAAACACACACAATATATTTCCCTTGAACTTCTTCTTGACTGGTGATGACAACAAATAAAATGATGATTCTCTCACTTATCTGAAAAAAATTACAGTAAAAATGACCTAATCATATGTATGGTTTGTGTATCTCTGATTTCTGCCTCACTTCAGCAACAAGAATGTCATAACATTAAATCCAGCATCCCCTTCCATCCATCCCTCCTTGCTTCTGGCCTTCTTTCCTTCCTTGGATGCATTTATGCCTTTAGCAATACCAAAAATCCTGAAGGCCTGTGTGACTCTCCCAAAAATCTGACATTTAATCCACTCTGGATTATATTTGCATTAACAATATTTAAAATAAAGGGAAAAATTTGTAGCTAATGTAAACCAAAATAGTTATACAGATTTCGCACCAACTGGCTCACATAATCTGTTCTGTTTATTCTTATAGATTTAAAGTCACTATGAAGTCATGAAGTGAACACTGCAGAACTATAATATAATGAAGTTATCTATATCTTTATAGCACTTTTTTTTAATCATTTACCATTTCCTTTATGAAACTTTTTGGACACAGACTGTAATTTTAATGAACAACAAAGCTCGTCCACATCTGTGTCATAAAGGAAAATGTCCACACATCAGCTTATTATTCATCATAGTGGTGCAAGGGCGGGTTTCCTGTTCCCGGTATTAGTCACTAGAAACTGAACACAGACCTCCTCGATGGATCCAGTTCCTCATCTTGAAAAATTTTAATGATTCCACAAATTTTAATTTTTGCTCTCTGACTACATCTCCCCCTTCAGATGTGAGCACTGGAAGTAATTTCTTATAGAGATGTGACTCATACTCCAGTCTCAGCCAGTGAGCAAATATTAAAGGAACTACAAAGCAGCATCAGAAATTACTAAACTAAAAAGCCACCAGCAATAATGCTGCTCAAGTCAGCATGGTTCCTCTCAGTCTTAGGGATCTGTCAACAAAGAACAATTGGCAGTGTTAGTACCACAGTAAATTGGGAAGGAAGAGAGAGTGTGTGTGTGTTTGTGTTTATTTAAAAGAAAAGAAAACATTGTGTTTCTTTTTGTGTTAATGAGTTTGTATGTGGCTTCCTGTTCTTTCTTTCTGCCTGCTTTTACAATTCCTAATTGACAATGGTAAAGTATTTGCTCTGATACTTTAAAAAAAAAATCCACTAAAACCCATGTCTTTTCATGTCCTCAATAAGGAGAAAGGAAGTATGTGCAGTCATATCACAAAACACAAACCATGCTATCATGGTTTCATTTTTCATTCATCCTTATTAAGTACATTAACATCAAAGTGGACTTTTCTTTCTCTCCCATCCTATCACAGCATCCACTCAGTTGTGTACATGAGCTCGTTTCCACAGTACAATTTGACCATCTTATGAGTGAGCAAGACAGCATTAAATCAGACTGATTCCAGACAAAATAGACACGACAATCCCTTCCTGTAAATATTCTAGATCCCCAATGTCATCCTCAAATCTCTCCTTAAAATTCACCTTGAGGCTACGTCTAGACTGGCATGATTTTCTGGAAATGCTTTTAACGGAAAAGTTTTCAGTTAAAAGCATTTTTGGAAAAGTGTCTAGATTGGCAGGATGCTTTTCTGCAAAAGCACTTTTTGCGGAAAAGCGTCCGTGGCCAAACTAGACGCGCTTTTCCGCAAAAAAGCCCCGATCGCCATTTTTGCAATCGGGGCTTTTTTGCGGAAAACAAATTTCTGCTGTCTACACTGACCCTTTTGCGCAAAAGTTTTTCGGAAAAAGACTTTTGCCCGAACGGGAGCAGCATAGTATTTCCGCAAAAACACTGACAATCTTACATGAGATCGTCAGTGCTTTTGTGGAAATTCAAGCGGCCAGTGTAGACGGCTAACAAGTTTTTCCAGAAAAGCAGCTGCTTTTCCAGAAAAAGTGGCCAGTCTAGACACAGCCTGACTGTTCTATCTGTAAAACACTGTGAGCCACCCTGATTCTTTTAGAGAGAATTGTGGAGTAATTTGTCTGTCCTTCTGGACAACTGGGAACAATTATAGGAAGCCTCTGGAGGATTATCTAAATGCATGAGGGTATGTCTACACTGCCACCCTAGTTCGAACTAGGGTGGCAGTGTAGACATACCCTCATGCATTTAGATAATCCTCCAGAGGCTTCCTATAATTGTTCCCAGTTGTCCAGAAGGACAGACAAATTACTCCACAATTCTCTCTAAAAGAATCAGGGTGGCTCACAGTGTTTTACAGATAGAACAGTCAGGCTGTGTCTAGACTGGCCACTTTTTCTGGAAAAGCAGCTGCTTTTCCGGAAAAACTGTCTCCCTGGCCTGCCCCCCCCAGCAGACCGGGGAGACGCGGAGCAAAGCCTCGGAGGATGCGGGCGGGACCGCGGCGCATCTCGGCGGTCCTGCCACCCGTGTCCTCCGCGGCGAGAAAAGCCGCTCCGCGTCTCCCTGGTCTGCTGGGGAGAAGTGCCCCCCGTGCCACCAGAGGCGGCGACAGTGGGGGAAGTACCCCGCACTAGATGCGCCCCCCCCATTCGTAAGTAGGGGTCCGACTTAAGTCGGACTGACGTAACCCGGGGACTGCCTGTAGTTCTTCTATAATTAGTCTTCTCCCTGAGAAGGAAAGGAGTGCTGTGAAAGGCAGCATCTGGCTCTGTCTACAGGGGCTCTAGCACCTCTCCCGCATGATAGGAGAGCGATCACATCTCTTCAAGTGTGAGTGTCTTAGGCTGAACATATTGCCAGGATTATGTTGCTTACAATTTTCATCACATTGCGCAGGTGGAAATGAGTTCTCAGCAGTTTCCCCGTTCTGGAGCCCCTCCTGCAGGACTAGGACAAGCACCACCCCCAATTTCAAACAGTGATTTCTAAAGCCAGAAATGTCTGCTATTTTGGCATCCAGGAAACAATTTCACCATTCACACTAATACAGGTGTTCATGTGTAGTGTATCAATGTGTTATTAAATAATAACTGAATAAAATAATATTAAATAAATAATTAAAAACAACATCCATGTTTTGATTGTTTTTTATTTGGACCTCAAGTGTGTAGTCGGCCCCCGAACTGCTGTTTGATAGTTAATGCGGCCCTCGGGCTGAAAAGTTTGGAGACCCCTGATCTAGAGCAATAGTATTGTCATAGAATCATGTCTTCAAATGGGCTCTTGTGCTCTGAACTTCCATAGACTTTTATTATGAATGGAATTTACTGTCAGTACCAGAGAATGTGTGAGCTCAGTCAAGACTGACCTCTGTGCAGTAAAAGTCTTAGGCTTAGCAGCTAGCTGAAAGAGGCAGCAATGGTGGAGGGGAGGAGAGGTTGCAGTGGAGCAACCTCTGTGCATGGCAGGTGGCAGCAGCCTCTGTTTGCTGGGGGTCTGAGCTCTCTGCAGGCAGAGGCAGCTCCAGCATTCCACGGAGCAACATCTGTCCACAGCAAGCCTGGGCCTTCCACAGAGAGAGGTTGCTCCGTGGCAGCAGGTCCTATCTGCAAGGGGTATGAGCTCCCCATAGACAGGGGTTGCTCCATGCCAAAGCAGCCTCTGTCTATGGGGAGCTCAGACCTGTATCAAAGGTAGCAGCACAGGGCAACAGGCAGGAGCCAGTCTGCACGGGAAGCCAGTTTTTAAACCGCATCTCCTCATGGACCAGCTCTTGCCTCCCACCACGTGCTACTGCTTCTGAGAGAGAAGCAGCAGCATGGGATGGCAGGGGGCTCCCCAGAAGAGGGGCTGGGAATGCAATGGCTGCCAGCTGTGCCTCCGGAGACTGTCAAATAATCGTCTAACTGCTAAAATTTGATGTGGCTACACAACTATTCAGTTACATGCTATCTAACATCCCTACTTTGCACCACTGACAGGAGCGTCAGTTTTTTCAATATTCACCTATGTGGCATTCTTGCCCTTTAGTTCCTAAACAGGAAAACCAAGAACTCTATGTTTACATAAATTCCAAAGTAGACGACAAGAGAGTGCTGGGGAGAATGTAACAGAATTCTCTCATTCTCTGCCAAAGCCCATAGCTTCTGTCTCTTGTGTTGTGTGTCTGCTCCCACAACAAAAGGTATGCACACAAAACCCTATAAAATGTCACAATCATGGGAGCTTTTTGTCAGTTGATATCGGGTCTAGACATGTGATTGGACTAATTCTTTATGAACTTTAATCCACTGAACTTTCAGTATAAGCATGGAACCTCTGCTCTTTTTTTACTTCCCAGCCCAGCATTTGATCAGATTTACATTATTGTTTTGGAAGATCAGAACATTGTTTGTCCCTACATTGTTCCTCTCCCCATGCCCACTCCTTTCTATAAGAGATCTTCCCCCTCAGGGAACACCTGCAAACCTGCCTCCTTTTCCAGCATTTCAACAGTGCCTGAAGATTTCTCAACCACCACTTTGCATTCCAATTGCCTTTCCTCCACACCTGTGGTTGGGCATGTGCTGAATCCCCATTGTTCCTTCCTGACTTAGAGCACTGGTTAGGAGGGGGCAGGCTGAGCCCAGCAGATAGAAAGTAGAGCCACTGGAAGTCCCTAAATGTGAAGCTTGTGCCCTATCTCCTCATGGCCCAGATCCTTTTTCTCCTGAGACAGTACCTCCTACTAGTGTCCCCAAAGCCTTAGAGAAGGCCTGGTACGCAAGCTATTTAATACCGTGAATACAATGTTCTCTCATTGAAGTCAATTGGAGGTATACACATCTTCCAGGAAAGACGTGAGGAGACGTCAACCCCTTGGCATTAGCCAGTTTCCTACACTGCTCTAGAAAGCACACACAATTGCCTGTGAAGGGAGTCTTCCCCTGATTCTCCTCTACTGGTCATCCTTGTATGAGGTTGCTTTATATTTGTCTCTTTTTCCACTATATATTCGGGGATTTGATACTGATGAACACACCCTTAACTATAGGGTGAGGGAAAGGAAGTGAGTTAGAATTGCTAAAAGTTACATTGGGGATCATGCTGGGGCACTCTGCCCTGTAAGTATCTCCTAGTCACTCACTACAGGTCAGGTTAAAGTGTGTATTTCAAATGACAAAGAGCCAAGGATTTTCTGTACAGTATAAATTGACTTACCTGTAAAAATCTTGGGAGAAAACTGTTTTCTTCAATGCCAACTAGAATGTGCAGGAGCTCTAATATGGACAACGACTGACAAAGGCGCATTATGAGCCCTATAGAATAGAAGGTATCGGCCAAAGAATCTACAACCACAGGGGAGAAGAAAACATAGTGCCATTACTTAAATCTCTTAACTCTTTCTTTACCAAGCCTTGGACATGACCACTGACATGTCAAAAAGTAAAGTTCACATACGATCAGCCAGACTAGGTCAGACGAAAGGTCCATCTAGCCCAGTGTCCTGTCTGCCGACAGTGGCAAATGCCAAGAGCCACATTCCAGAGGGAATGAACAGAGCAGATAAGAAGTGATACATCCCCTCCCGCCCATTCCCAGCTTCTGACAGATGCTAGGGACACTATTCCTGCCCCTCCTGGCTAATAGTCACTGATGGAACTAATCTCCATGAATTTATCTGGCTCATTTTTTAAGCCTGTTATGGTCTTGGACTTCATAATATCCTCTGGAAAGGAGTTCTACAGGTTGACTGTGTGTTGTGTGAAGACATATTTTCTTTTGTTTGTTTTAAACTTGCTATCTATTAATTTCATTTGATGACCCCTAGTTCTTGTGTTATGGGGAAGAGTTACAGTAATAACTCTTCTTTGTTCACTTTTTCCATGCCGATAATGCTTTTATAGACTTCTGTCATATGCCCCTTAATCATCTTTTTTTCCAAGAAGAAAAGTCCCAGTCTTATTAATCTCCTCATATGGCAGCTGTTCCATGCCCTTGTTCATTTTGTTGCCTTTTTCTGAAATTTTTCCAATGCCAAGATACTTTTTTTGAGATGAGGCAACCATATTTGGACACAGTATTTAAGGTGTAGGTGTACCATGGATTTGCATAGAGGCAATAAGATATTATTTGTCTAATTCTATATTACTTTCTTGATGATTCCTAAAATTCTGTTTGCTTCCTTTTTTTACTGTCACTACACTGAGTGTATGTTTTCAGAGAGCAATCCATAATGATTCCAAGATCTCTCTCTTGAATGGTAACATACAGTTTAGTCCCCATCACATTAAACTTATGGCTGTGATTCTATTTTCCAATATGCATTACTTTGCATTTTTCAACCTTAAACTTCACCTGCCATTTTGTAGTCCAGTCACCAACTTTTGTGAGATCCTTTTGAAGCTGTTTGCAGTCTGCTTTTGTCTTAACTATCTTGAGCAGTTTGTACCACTGCCATTTTGTAGTCCAGTCACCAACTTTTGTGAGATCCTTTTGAAGCTGTTTGCAGTCTGCTTTTGTCTTAACTATCTTGAGCAGTTTGTACCACCTGCAAATTTTTCCACTTCACTGTTTACCTCTTTCCTCCAGATAATTTATTAATATGTTGAATAGAATCAGTCCCAGTATGAAGCCCTGGAGGACACCTCTAGTAACCTCCTTTCATTGTGAAAACTGACCATTTATTTTTACCCTTTGTTTCCTAGCTCTTAACCAGTTATTGATCCATGAGATGAGCTTCCCTCTTATCCTATAACAACTCACTTTGCTTAAAAGCCTTCGATAAGAGACTTTTGTCAAAGTGTTTCTGGAATGTAAATATACTATATCCACTGAATTCCCATGTCCATATGCGTGTTGGCCCCCTCAAAGAATTCTAATAGATTGGTGAAGCATGATTTCCTTTTACAGAAACCATGCTGACACTTCCCCAATAAATTATGTTCATCTATGTGCCTGACAATTATGTTCTTTACTGTAGTGTCAACCAATTTGCCTGGTACAGAAGTTATATTTACTGGCTGTAATTGTCAGGATCACCACTAGACCCCTTTTTAAAAATGAGAAGTGTCACATTAGTTCTCTTCCTGTCATTTGATATGGAAGATGATTTAAATGATAGGTTACAAAACACAGTTAGTAGTTCTGCAATTTCACATTTGAGTTCTTTCAGCTCTCTTGGGTGAATTCCATTTGGTCCTGACATTACTATTTGGATTGTCAAAACCAGTTACTAAAGACACCTCAGTCTGGGACAGTTTCTGAGATTTGTCACTTGAAAAGTATAGCTCAGGTTTGGGAATCTCCCTCACATCCTCTGCTGTGAAGACTGATGCAAAGAATTCATTTCATTTCTCTGCATATTCTTATTGTCTTTGGGTATGTCTACACAGAAACATTATTCTGGAATAACTGAAGTTATTCCAAAATAACATAGTGCACATCTACTCTACAAGCCTTTATTTCAAAACAATGTTGAGCTGGAGGACTTCTTACTCAGACTCATGGTAACCCTCATTTCATGAGGAATAAGGGAAGCTGAAGGAAGAGTGTTCTCCCTTCAACTTCCTACTGTGTAGACAGCGCCAAAAGCCGAATTAAGCTATTTCAGCTTCAGCTGCGCAATTGACAGCTTGATTCAACTTTAGCCCTGCTATGTAGACATACCCACTGAGTGCTCCTTTAGCATCTCAACCGTCCAGTGGCCCCACTGGTTGTTTAGCAGGATTCCTGCTTCTGATGTACTTTACAAAATTCTATTACTTTTTGAGATTGTACTTCAAATTCCTTTTTGGCCTTCATTTGCCATAGTTTATGCTCTTTTCTATTTTCCTTGCTAGGATTTAACTTCCACTTTTTAAACAATGCCTTTTTTCCTCTGACAGAGTCACTTTTTTGGTTCTCTTACTGTTTTGGTTTTTTTTTTAATTTGGAGGATACATTTAAGTTGGGCCTCTATTATGGTGTCTTTGAAAAGTTTCCATGCAGCTTGCAGGGATTTCACTTTTTGCACTGTTTAATTTCTGTTTAACTAACCTCCTCATTTGTGTGTAGTTCCCCTTTCCGAAATTAAATGCCACAGTGCTAGGAGGCTGTGGGGTTTTTTCCTGCCGTAAGGATGTTAAATTTAATTATATTATCTATATTCACCTCTAGATCAGATCCTGTGCCCCACTTGGAACTAAATGAAGAATTGACTCTCCCATTGTGGATTCCAGAACCTGCTGCTCCAAGAAGCAGTCATTTAAGGTGTCAAGAAACTTTTATGTTTGTATCCTGTCCTGAAGTGGCATGTACCCAGTCAATATGGGGATAATTGAAATCCCACATTATTGAGTTTTTTATTTTTGTAGCCTCTCTACTCTCCCTTAACATTTCACAGTCTCTGTCACCATCCTGGTCAGATGGCCTCATGCCAGCAACATTTTGAAGCTGCATGAGACAAGCAGAAAAAGGATGTCTGGGGAGTGGTGGACATAGTGGGGATATTGAGGCTAGTATGAGAGAGTCTACCTCTCACGTACCTTTTTTAGTGAAGTGTATGCAACAAACACTGTCGCCAGAGGCATGTAGATTAGGCTACCAGACATAGTAAAATGAAGCGGCGGTTTAAATAATCGCCACTTCATTTAAATTTACATGGCTGCCACGCTGAGCTGACAAACAGCTGATCAGCTGTTTGTCAGCTCAGCGTGGCAGCCATGTAAATTTAAATGAAGTGGCGATTATTTAAACCGCCGCTTCATTTTACTATGTCTGGTAGCCTAATCTACATGCCTCTGGCGACAGAGGCATGTAGTCTAGACGTACCCAAACTGGCAACTGAAATGCAACATGGTTTTCAAAAAATCAGAAAGACATAGATGGGGCTACTACTCTGAGCCGACCAACAGCTGATCAGCTGTTTGTCGGCTCAGCGCGGCAGCCATGTAAATTTAAATGAAGCGGCGATTATTTAAATCGCCGCTTCATTTTACTATGTCTGGTAGCCTAATCTACATGCCTCTGGCGACAGAGGCATGTAGTCTAGACGTACCCAAAATCTGTGCAGGACCTGGATATCTGGTTTAAAAAACATTCCTCAGCAATAGAGAAAGCTTTTGGATTTGAGCTATATACTGTGACAGGGTCAGGTCAGAGGGGTACAAGAAAGTGATTGAAGGGAAGTATATTAGCTTTAGATTGTGTAAGTCTCTGTTCCCACGGTGAACTAACAGGGGCTAGTCCGGATCCAGCAGGAACTTGTCAGAATCAATCAGGGCAATTAAGCACCTGGAGCCAGTCAGTTAAGAGGGCTTCCAGAGACAAGTGAACCAGGTTAGTTGGAACACTTGAGGCCAATTCAGAGCCAGCTGAGACTGGTTGAAAAGAGCTCCTCTGCAGTTAGTTCAGTGCGTGAGGAGCCAGAAGAAGCTGTGAAGGATCTATGAGGAGCAAGCACAAGTGAGTACCAGGAAAAAGAATTTGAGATAAGGAAGGTGCTGGGGAAGTAGCCCGGGGGTTTGTAGCTGTCATGCAGCTGATGTTGGAGACATTTACAGACAGCTGCATTCACAGGGTCCTGGGCTGGAACTAGGAGTAGAAAGTTCCCACCACCACTCACTTCCCATTTCCACTCAGCGACAGGACAGGTTGGGGGAAAGAAAGGGGTTCATCCAGCCCTGTATCATTTGGAGGGTCCACTGAGACTGTGGAGTTTTGTTTCCCTCTGTTGTTCATGCTGGCCAATGATGAGAGGAACTCAACAAAAAGCAAGCTGATGCTCTAAGAAGGCCAATGATGAGAGGAACTCAACAAAAGGCAAGCTGATGCTCTAGGAATCGTGTCTAAATTGAAAGCTGCTGTGAGCCTTTGAAGCAAGCAATCCACCACAAAGGCCAGGACCCACCAAGGTTAAGTAAGGGTTTGTAACAATATCTGTGTCCCTGACATAAGGCGTTTCACAAAATATCTGCTATCTGGATTTTTATAGTTTGTGGAAGACATTATCCTTTATATTACCACTCTTTCATTTCCTTTTGAACTCTGAAGTCCAGTCATTTTCTATGTCCCTCAATTTCATCCCAACATAGAGGCAAATAGAAATCTTATCTTCCAAAATATTAAGGTAAGATGGATCAAATACTGCTTGATATTAAAGGTTCTTAAAAAACAACATTGCAGCAAAACTATAAATATAGTGTAGCTATATTGATATTGTTTTGTTCAGCCTATCCAATGCTCATCTACATTGAACGATGTAATATTCCATCAATCTTACTGAAAGTATAACTTAACACAGAGATGATGTAATATTCCATCAATCTTACTGAAATTATAACTTAACACAGAGTCCTAAGTTTGTTGGAAGTTTATGCCCAATTAGGGATTTTAAAGTAAAATAATGAAGTCATATAAAATGAATGGCCTTACCTTTCCCAAATGACAAGAACCTGATGATCATATTTGTAAATATCCAGGAATGTCCACAGAATTGGATTAAATAATAGGTGAAGAGATAAGTGTTCATGGTACAGCTGTAAAGGTAAAAATAGTTAAATAAATAAACCCACAATGCATTACTTTGTATGATGCTGCTATTTGTTGTATTGTGCTCCAGCCTCACGGTTCATGAATTTAACACAAATCAATCTGAAGTGCTTTTATGGCTGCCATCACTTCTGTCTCTGAGTACCTCAACTTTTCATGCATTTATCCTCACAGCATTCTAGTGACATAGGAAAATTCTGTTATTTCCATTTTACATATGAGGAATTGAGATACAGAGAGGCTAAGGCTATATCTACACTGTTTCCTGGGTAGCTGCTCTATATCGACTGGAGAGTTCTCCTATTAGTGTAATTAAACCTCTACCAATGAGTGGCCTTAGTTATGACAGCAGCCAAGAATCTCCCACTGATGTGGTGCTGTGAAAAAGTCCCTGACCAACACAAATTTTATAAATGAAAGTGCTAATGTAGACATAGCCTTGATATTTTCCTAAGAACACACAAAGTCTGTATCCCCCATCCATAGTTAGTGCACTAACTACAGGACTAGCTCATGATGGGGGAGACCTACTACAGCTCAAGGCCGTGGTAATCATTCACGTCCTTCAGGCCTGACACTTATAACTCATATCTCGGAATTAATCCTCATAGCCAGAAAAAGCTCCAACTAGTATACAATGAATAAGCCCAACAGGTCACTATGGGTATGTCTACACTGCCACCCTAGTTCGAACTAGGGTGGCAGTGTAGACATACCCTATGAGAATATCACTCCAGTGTTCTTTTCTCCAGGCTTTCTGCCCACTGACCTTCCTATATACTTGGGATTGGCCCTGATTTCCTAGAAGTTCTCCCCTCTGATCATCACCAAGACCTTTCACAACAGTTACATTTTATTAGAATCATGTAGCCAACAGTGGCAGATTTGTGAGTATGGGAGGCTGAACTCGCACAGAAGCTAGACCTAGATTGTGGGATTTGCTTTTGCAAGGTCTTAGGATGACCCAGACACCGAATGACCTAATTCAAAATTAAATTCAAGTTCATCTGACACATTTTTCCATTGGTAATGTCTTTCTTCCTCTCTGACATAACCACTCAAGGAAGGAAGGAAGAAAAATTGAAGGTATTATTTCTATTTTCCATTACCCTGAGGTGCTCCAGTATTAGCCCAATGCAGCCTATATAAGATACGTTTGTACAGATGCATGATGGAAAAGTCCAATACAGTTTAATAATGACAGAGCCAATAGAAATATATAGATACCACTCCAAAAACCTCAGGACTGAACAGTGACCAACAACCATCTCTGTTGTGCATCTTACTGAACAAAGAAAAAATATAAATTCCTAAAATGGAAAAATAGTAAATTAAAAGCAGAAAAGAGGCATTGCTCTGTCAATTATCATTGATAACCAGTAATTGGATCCATATATTATAACAATAGGAAAAGTGTGAACATGTTGTTAGATATTTGGAGAAGTTCTGGCAAAATTCTCCACTGCTTAGTACAATCACGTAGGCTACATCTACACTACGAGTTTTCTCAGCAAAAAATGTGCTAATGAGGGACTCGTTTGCATCAGTTGTGATCTCATTTGCATATTTTCTGCCGATACATTTTTGTGCTGGGGTTTTTGTGCAAAAACAAGCAGTGTGGATGTTTTCTTTTTGCACAAATAACCCCTTTTCCAGAAGATCAGTATGCTCCAAAAAAGGAGGTAAGGACCTTGTGGGAAAAGGGATTTATGCGCAAAAGCCCCGGCACAAAAATGGATCCGCAGAAAATATGCAAATGATGATCGTGACTCATGCAACTGAGTCCCTCATTAGCATATTTTTTGCCGCAAAAACTTGTAATGTAGACGTAGCCATATTGATTCTAGTACCTGGGCTTTGCATTGTTTATATTCTTTGATATTCTCTCTTATATGTATAATTTGTAACATTCGTCTCCTTGTCCTCAATATATTTTGAAATGATTCCAAGAATTTTGGGGTATTCTTCTGAGCCTACAAATCCTGTAAAGTCTTAAAACACTTATGTGAGAACAAATGGTAACTAAGAGGATGTTTATAAATACTAACTATGCACTAGTGTTCTCCAATGTTTGATCAGTATACTTGTCATCTTGGTTTAAAACTCATCCTGATGAGCCGGATAAGTGCACAAGGCACTATGTTGTAACTGGAATCAATAGAGAAATGTTAGTCATTAATTGCAGCACCCCAAAATAAAAGCTTAAAATTATTTAAGTGAAGGCTTGACCTAAGGATGGCATTCCACATTGTCTTATGTGGGAGCACATTGGAGTCGGGGATTTTCATACACCAGGTCAATAGTGGCTGAGAACATTGTTGTGTAAGAAGCATTCTTAGGCTGGTTGTTGGAAGTACTTTTCATTATTCCATGTGGACTTCTGGGACTAAACAAGAAGTCCCTTTGAGTAGCTCCAAAAGGAGTCTTATCTAGACCTCTTACCCTCTGGAAGGTCTCTGCCATGCAGGGCCTTTGAGGAAAGAGGGGATATCTGTCAAGGAAGAAAGATCACTTAAATGTAATGATAAATATATTTGAAAGTCTAATTGCTTTACCAAGACATTTCTCATCCATGAGTTGCAGCACCTTTTTATTCCTGAGGAGCAAAAGAAATGTTCTGAGAGGTAACACATTACTCCACTATCATCTGTTTCCACTTAAAGGGTCAATGTAAAAAGTGGGTGGCTTTAATCAGATTTCTTGCCTTTTTTTTTTGCTCACAGAAGGAATCCATCAACATTAGATAGTGCCATAGGATCAGCCTGAGAGAGAGAGCATGGCCTACTAGATAAAGCACAGGAAGGGAAGCCTGGAGATAGCTGTTCTATTTCTGCCTCTGTCACAAAATCTCACACTGCCTGTGTTTCACTGTCTGTAAAATAGAAATGATATGCAGGGGTGTTCTAAGAAAAAATCTCTTAATTTTGTCAAGTACTTTGAAGATCAAATAGAAGGTTCTATGAGAATTTTATTGTATTTCAATAACTTGCCTGTTTTGAGAATTGAATATAGAGACTTCACTAGGCAATTTGCAACAAACCCAACCTACCGAGTTTATTATGGGCAGTGTTTTAGTTGCGATTTTTATACCTTGATAATTGTTAATTTGCATAAATACATTGAGATTTCTATGATGTCGTGACCCAGTGAGAAGATGGATTCCAACTTGTTCAGAAGAAAAAATTTGCTTTTTTTTCTTGCACTCTTCCAGGTCTCGGAAATTGAGAGATTGCATTAGATATTGGATCTGTTTTCCCTCAGCACAAATAACTTGCAAACCAGTGGTGTCCTAGTTCCTGCTAAAATATACAGGCATAAAGCATATATTAATAATAAGCTATTTCAAAATAAGATGCTCAATTTGCATAGCTTATTTTGAATTAAGTTCTGCAGTATAGACACACCGTTACTAAAGTCTAGGTATGCACATTCATCGTTTCTTCCTTATCCACAAGCCTTGTTAGCTTTCTTTGATAAGATATCAGATTGCTTTGACATGATTTGTTCTTTACAAATTCATGCTGGCTGTTACCTATCACCTTATTTTCTTCCAGATGTTTGCAGATGATTTCCTTAATTACTTGCTCCATTATCTTTCCTGCACAGAAGTTAAACTGACTGCGCTGTAGTTTCCTGGGTTGTTCTTATTTCCCTTTTTATAGATGAGCACTATATTTGCCTTTTTTCAGTTTTCTGGAATCTCTCCTGAAGAGGGAGAAACAGTAATTTCCATGATTTTTCAATAATGATCGCTAAAAGCTCAGATGCTCAAGGAGCTGATAGAGAAGGTATTCTAGGATGCATTTCATCAGGCTCTGGTGACTTGCAGACATTAACTTTTTTCTAAGTAATTTTTAACTTGTTTTTTAATTTTATCTTTTAAACCCACCCCATTCCCACCAGCATTCACTATGTTAGGCATTCCTTCATCAGACTTCTTGGTGAAGTCCAAAACAAAAAAGTCTTTAAGCACCTCTGCCATTTCCAAGTTTCCTGTTATTGTTTCTCCCTCTTCAATGAGCAATGGGCCTACCCTGTCCTTGGTCTTCCTCTTGCTTCTAATATATTTATAGAATGTCTTCTTGTTACCCTTTATGTCTCTAGATAGTTTGAGCTTGTTTTGTGTCTTTGCCTTTCTAATCTTGCCCCTGCATACCTGTATTGTTTGCTAATATTCATCCTTTGTAATTTAACCTAGTTTCCACTTTTTATATGACCCCTTTTTGATTTTTAGATCATGAAATATCTCCTGGTTAAGTCAAGGTAGTCTCTTGCCATACTTTCTATCTTTCCTACACAGTGGAATAGTTTGCTTTTGGATCCTTAATAATGTCCCTTTGAAAAACTGCCAACTCTCTTCAGTTGTTTTTCCTTAGTCTTGCTTCCCATGGAATCTTACCTACCAGCTTTCTGAGTTTACTAATATCTGCCTTTCTGAAACCCATTGTCTCTATTTTGCTGTTCTCCTTTTTACCATTCCTTAGAATCATGAACTCTAGGATTTCATGATCACTTTCACCCATGCTGCCTTCTACTTTCAAATTCTCAACCAGTTCCTCCCTATTTATTAAAATCAAATCTAGAACAACCCCCCCCCCAGTAGCTTTTTCAACCTTCTGAAATAAAAAATTGTCTCCTATGCAGTCCAAAAATGATTGGATAATCTATGCTCTACTGTGTTAGTTCCCCAACATATGTCTGCATAGTTGAAAGTCCCTCATCACCACCACAAATTCTGTGCTTTGGATGATTTGGTATTTGTTTAAAAAAATCTTCATCCACCTCTTCTACCTGGGTAGGTGGTTTATAATATACCCCTATCAACCTATTTATTAAAATCAAATCTAGAACAACCCCCCCCCCAGTAGCTTTTTCAACCTTCTGAAATAAAAAATTGTCTCCTATGCAGTCCAAAAATGATTGGATAATCTATGCTCTACTGTGTTAGTTCCCCAACATATGTCTGCATAGTTGAAAGTCCCTCATCACCACCACAAATTCTGTGCTTTGGATGATTTGGTATTGGTTTAAAAAAATCTTCATCCACCTCTTCTACCTGGGTAGGTGGTTTATAATATACCCCTATCAACACATCACTCTTGTTTTTTACCCCTTTTAAACCTAACCCAGAGACTCTCAACACATCTGGTTCCTATATCCATCTCCACCTCAGTCCAAGTGTGTACATTTTTAATATATAAGGCAGTGGTCCCCAACATGGTGCCCACAGGCACCATGGCGCCCGCGGGGCCATTTGTGTGCACCCGCCAAGTGCTCGGGGCTGTCCTGGCCCTGGGCACGTGGTGCATGCATGGTGCCGGAGCCGGACCCGAGCGCATGGCGCACGGTGAGTGCTGGCCCCGGGAGCGCCGCAAATTAGCCACCTGCACTCTGGGTGCGCGGTGCTTTGGGGGGGGCACTGGCCCCGGGCGCGCAGCGTTTGGCGGGGGGACACCGGCCCCGGGCATGCAAGTGTCCCCGCCCTCTGGGGCCCAGCAGGCGAACAGCCATGCCCCTTGGTGCCTGGCAGCCTCAGATGGTTGGGGACCACTGATATAAGGCAACACCTCCTCCCTTTTGTTCCCCACCTAGCCTTTCTGAGCTGTACCCTTCTATACCAATATTCCAATCATGCGTATTATCCCACCGTGTCTCTGTGATACCAGCTATGTCATAGTTGTGTTTATTTATTAGCACTTCTAGTTCTTCCTGCTTATTACCCACGCTTCTTGCATCTGTATACAGGCATCTAAGATACTGAGTTGATATTTCCTCCCAGTTCTGCCTTGTCTCTCCTCTCTATTACGATTCTAAATACAGTAGTACATTCAAAGGATACAGCTAGTGAGAACTCTGAACGTAGGTAGCTGTGGTTGCCCTAGGGCAGAGACTGAGGCCATGGCTGCTTCCTCTTCAAAGGGAGCCTCTCATAACAGCTTAAAGATCTTCTTAAAGCTATCTCCTATGCAGTTCCTCAGTGCCCCCAAGGGGAGGCTTGTCACCCAATGAAATAGACACGTGATGAAGCAACAGCTCATTGAAACCAGAGTGAGGATTTTTTTTTAATGAAAACCTATGAGAAAACCACCTCTGCTGCCCTTGTTTCCTTTAAGTCACATTGGTCTGAGCTCCTAGTTCAGCATTTCCTCCCCCCGCCCACCACAAGCTTTACAGCTCAGAAGGAGGGTAACAACAATTGAGAATCAGCACAAAAGTGAGTTTTCCCTCCTGCACAACATCCCAGCCCCCTTTGCCTTCCCCTCTTCTCTGCAGTTGAACAGTTTGAATGGCTTGTTTTTTTACCTTTGATCAAGAGTTACTAGTTGTGGCGCAGATGGGTCACTGCTGCAGAGTCTGTCTCCCTCTCTTCACAGCTGCAACAGCTGTTTACTAGGAGATAACCCCGCCTTCCCCTCCTCCCCAGTCCAAGGAACGTCACTGCAAGCAGCAGTACAGAGAAGTAGATACTTTCCTAGTAGAAAGGAAGGAACCACTAACTCAAGGGATCCTCGTTCATTTTATCAAACTTCTGCAGGCACTAGCCCAGGCCTGTTTGGGGTTTGTTTTGTTTTGTTTTGTTTTTTTGCGTTTATTATGAATAGCTCCTCGGAAGAGTTCCAGTAGTTTTTGTGGTTAGTCAGGAGGGCATTTTCAAAGGCCAGCAGAAAGTAAGCATGAATTACATGCAGATTATCACAGTATAGTTTTCCCCAGAATAAAGAATCCAATTAAATAACTATCCATCAATTCAAAAGATAAGATATACTGTTGGTATTTAATTTTCCTGAGATTCTAAGTGATTCTAAACAAATAACTATGCTACATATTGCAGTTTCTGTTACTCTGCTGAAAATAGAGACTGCAGTTTTTATGCCTATAGTTTGGATTTGTGAATATGTTTGGATGTTTGGCCAGATGCAATCCTGTATAACAAGATTTGCTGGCTGGATTTCATGTATTTAATCCAGGGATTGGGATTTGCATTTAAAATAATTTAGAAGATATTAAATAGACATGACAAAATATATCCAAATACCAACAACAAGGACACACGCAATGAGACACAGGACAAAGCAATCTGTAGTGATGGAGTAATTGAGAGAATGACATGTGTCCCATTAGATTATATTACTTATCACTTTAGAGGCCAACAAGATGCATTGCAGAAGGTACCATATACATATTACATCCTATTTGATTTAATTGAGGCCAACAAGATGCATTGCAGAAGGTATGATATCCATATTATACATATTTCATCCTATTTGATTTAATTTAATTTGTAGCTTATTACCATGTTTACTCTGTGTTTTTGTAATGTTTTAGCTAATTTATCCACTTATAAATATTGCAGAATTAGAGGTGGATAAGCAAGAAGTGACAGGAGTGGTTAGGGATGTGGAAAATCTCACATATGTAGAGAAACTGGAAGTTCTGAAACTGAGGAGACAAATCAGAAGGGAAACATGACAAAAATACACAAACTGATGAATGGCCAAGAGAAGGGAAGGAAGGAACATCTCACAGTACAAGAGGATATTCAATTAAATTGTAATTCAAATATGGGGGATGAGAGTACAGCTACTGACTTGCCTTTGTCCACTCAGAGGGTGGACAGAGGTTAACACGGTACAAACCAATATCCTAGATCCTGCTTTTGCAATCAGGGAAAAAAGCTCAGTCCACATGGTCTCTTATATGCTCTGTAGAACAAGATGTTTTAAAAAAAAAAGGGGTGGGGGGCTACTGCCCAAGAAAACACTCTATATTTCAGGTCAGAGTGAAACCATTTGGCACATCCATTAGCTTTAATGAGGTCTATGACTGTCTTTGGATCCAACATTCACTTCATGGCAGCTAATAGCACCTTTTAACCCAGAGTAAAAAAACAAAAAGTTTGTTTTGAGATGAACATTTTAACTTAGAGCTTGATCCTGGAACATGTTGAGAGTCTCCTGCCATGGTTAGAAGTCACACGAGTTCATAGGTGCATAGGACTTAGCAAGTGGCACTTCTGTTTGTGGCAGAAGAAAGGTAGGAGAAGTTGAGAAGAGACCGAGCCACATGTGACCTATCATGGTTCTATGTTTTGCCACGAGGCATTTTGTTGATTGTTGCCCGCGTGCAGGGTTGCCTGATTCTGCTGATTTCCATCTGCATAGGTTTTTTTTTTGGGGGGGTCTACTGGTATTACTAAAGTGGCACACACGTTAAGGCCAGGTTATGTGAAGTGAGGTGCGTGCTGATGGCACACTATATTGACTGTAAGAGCTGTATGCTTCCTCTGCATCCAGTCAAAGTTCTCCTATCGTTCAATTGACACACCTTGCAAATTCAAGGAATGCAACCATGTTATGCTGGCATACTGTCTTGGTTACAACAATCTTGTTGCCCACTGAGATGGAGGGCCACTCGTGTGACCCACTCATGCCTAGGTTCCCCATCATTTTTCTAAAGCAAAGAACTCAATAAAGCAGCAATCTTGATGATTTCTGAGCAAGGGAACTGCCTGCTGTTATTAGTTTATCCTGTGTTGGAGAAAAAAAGGCTGCATTCCCCTTTTGTAAATAAAAGCAGATTACTCTGAGAACATCCCTGGTGACACCTGTAAATTATTGTTTTATATTGCTGTTTTAGAATCTGAATCTAATATAAATTTCTAGAGTTCATTTCAATATCAATTATAATGGGAAAAAGACAAGTTTTATTTTTACAAAATGGAGAAATTTCAACAACAACAAAAAAAAACCACCAGTGCCTGTCCCTTTCAATAGTATCCTCTCTATTTTTTTAATTCCTTAATTCTTACCAAGACTGCCCAGCTGATGCTTAGATATGTCTTTTTCATTATAGCAAATCCTCTTGAATATATATGTGAAGTTGCAACTGGATTCACTGTCATCACTAAACCAATGGTGTAAAGTCTATAAAGATTCAGTGGCAATTTTATCCAAATAAGGAGTTCAGGGCTGTACCAAATTGTGAAGGCGCCTGAATGGAAAGCACTGTAAAAGGAAAGTAAATAACATAAAAGAAGATGTAAGGTATGTTCAGGGCTGTACCAAATTGTGAAGGCACCTGAATGGAAAGCACTGTATATTAGGAAAGTAAATAACACAAAAGAAGATGTAAGGTATTTTTTTACAGTGAACCACTAGAAAATATTCTAAGTATTTTTAGTAATTGAAGAAACGTTTTTGTTAGGCCATAATTTCCAAATATTCCCCATCAAGGAAGACAAACTATAAACAGTCAGTATTCAAGTTATAGTACAAAGGAAGCTATGCAGCCTCTGACCTGCCAAGATAAGATATTTTAAGGAACACAGCTAATAGTAAAAGCTAAAGCAAATAACTTACACAAGAAAATCCAGTCTTGCTTCTAAGTGGCAGTGTGGAAAAAAGAATCCTGACTAAACCATTTTATAAGAAACAAGAGGAAGATGAATTTAATGACACCAATAATGAAAATTTATGACCTGATTTTTTTTTTCAGAGGTCCTGCATTGTCACCATGTCCTGTAGCTCTTTCAATGGGAAAGGATGTTCCGATCCAAAGATTGCGCTTTGATTCTCACTTTCTGATACATAAATGCAAAAACTGTGCTCCATTCATTGCTTAGGCACATGAACTCTATATGAATAAATGACCCCTGAAATATTATCCTCTTCCACTATTGAATATTAATCAACCAACCACCGCCCTGGCTTCAGTTGTAGCTGCAAGTGCTCAGCCTTTCTGGAACTCAGACCTTTATTTTGTTAGAGAGTATTGAGATTGCTAGTTATTTGGCCAATTACACTGTTAAACCTAATGGGGGGGAAAAAAATTTTTTCTAAAAGGGTCCCATCTCCCACTCTGCGCTCATGCATAAATACTCCATAAAAAACAGCCCTAATAAAAAGAGAGAGAGATGTCAGGCAACTTTTATTTGGAAACTCAAATATGGATATAGGAACCTAGCTTTAGGCATCTATGTTTTAAGAATGTTGCGCCCCCCCCTCCCCCCTCCAGCACACAAATTAGCTGTGGAGGCCAATACATTCATGTTCCAGCACACAAAGGCACAAATTGAATTCTAGGGACGATTTACAGTCCCTTGATGAAGAACACCTTGCTACAGGTCCCACTCCTTAGTCTTCTACCAGCAATTAAACTTGGAGGTTATAAGCTAATGTCTTGGATGATCTCCACTATCACACTAACATGGAGGAAGAAGAAAAGGGACCTCCTTAGTCTTCTACCAGCAATTAAACCTGGAGGTTATAAGCTCATGTCTTGGATGATCTCCACTATCACAGTAACATGGAGGAAGAAGAAAAGGGATTTGAGGTCTTGAGGCTCCAATCCCTTTATCATCCTAAATTGCACCCAGAAACAAAGGAATACAGTAAACATCATCTTGAGGAAGTACATCCAACATGCACATATATGCAGAGTTAATGTTTTAATAGTGTTGAGCTGTCCTAACTGCTCCAGCGCTGAACTAACCCTCAAAACCATGCATAGCACAATTTGTCTTCAATGGAGAAATCATCGCATCCTCTACCCTCAAATGCTTGTCAAGGACCAATAAACATTCTTCTTTAGAGCTGTTTGCATGGTTGTTACAAAAGCAGCAACATTATTACATCCAGGCAGAATGTATGATCATGGGGGTTGCACTATGGCCATAGTCAAAGTGCAATTTGGTACCTCTCTTACCAGCGATATCAAAGAGGTCTGCTTGTACAGAGGTTCCAGAATGGCACTAATTTGGATTTTACTAATGGCACTAATTTGGATTTTTTTTCCTTTGCAGTTTACTGCAACATCTGTTTCATTTTTATTAATTTTTCTTCTTGGATGTTGCTAAATGATCCAAAACTGGAAGGGATTTGCCTTCCCAGCTCTGCCTTGTCTCTTAAAATTTCTAGCATAATTCCTCCAACAGCCCTTTGTTTTTTGTCACACGACTCTCACTTTTACTCTGAAGTTTGTCATACTCTGGGGTAATCCACCAAGACTATTTCTTCATCACAGATGTGACTATTACTTCATCACAGTTGAGTTAAACCAGTGGGAACCCTAATATATAAGAGCCTCCTGCATCGGAACCTGTTTGTACCAAGATTTCTTGCTTTCAACAGGATGAGTTGAACTAGCAGTAGAAATCAGCCTTTTGGAGCCTTCTCCGCACTAGAAATGGTGACCGCTCCTATGGGCGTACAGGCAGTCCCTGGGTTACGTACAAGATAGGGACTGTCGGTTTGTTCTTAAGTTGAATTTGTATGTAAGTCGGAACTGGTACATATTGTAGGGGAAACTCTAGCCAAACATTTCTCCAGAGCTCAGTTTTATTCTCCCACACCTCACTTCCCTCAGTCC